CTTAATGTGTGATCCATACTGAAGGCTGTAGTCTTTGATCTTCACCAGTAAGTGCTTCAAGTCCTGTTCCTCTCTCTAGCTTTTCCAGTGAAATGTACACTAATTTACCCACAAAATATTTGTCAAAGGCCAGTGTGTGAGAAGCATGGTGCTAGGTCTAAGAATACTGAGTAAGCTGGTCAATCATCATCCCTGCCTTGTAGGGCTTGCTATCTAACAGAGAACTCAGATGCTAAGCTACATGTCTTTATTATTATGAGAGAGAAGAACAAGGTATTTGGGCTGCTTACCTCATTGTAAGGACTCAAGAAAAAGAACTTCTTTGAAGAGCTGCAGTTTAAGCCAAGACCTACCAGATGAACAGAAGTGAACAAGAGAAAGGAGTAATATGGGGCTAAAGGTGAGAGAGAGTGTGTTCTACAAAAGGGTGCAACATATGTGGAGACCCCGAAATGGGAAAGATGATGGTACACTCAAGGTAATGAAAGCAGTCCACTTTACATGGGATAAGAGAAGGAGGAGCAGGAAAGCCTGAGATGAGTCTGGACAGGTCAGAGGGGCCAGAATATACCTGGCCCAAAACATGACTCCAATATGTGTATTTGAAGTAAGCATACAGCCTCTTGTAAGTCACTGTACATGGAATTTACCCTTTCCTCCTCCCTGGGCCAAGAGTCCTTCAACATCAGTACTCCAGCCCTTCTCTGCAGCTGACCTAATACCATGTGATTTTCAAAGGGTAGTGAACCTTCCTCGAGATTCAGTCACAAGACAAACTACAAACCTTGCTCTCTTTATCTCAATAAAATATTTTTAATGGTTCAGACTCCTTTTTAGGTTAATCACTGAGACCCTTAGAATAAAAGGGAACTAAAAGACTGATGTGTCTGAAAGGTATTTCATGGGCTCTGATTCTGTCAGTCAAATGGTGGGCTATCATTCAAATGGAGGGAAACCAGGAAGGTAGAGAGCTGGCCCAGTGGGTTTGGAGAGGCTGAGGGAGACCAGGAAGTGAGCAGAGCAGTTTGGAAAAACTAAGGGAGATGAACTTGTCTGTCAGTTTGTCCTACTGCAGTGGCTTGCATGTTGCTGTGAGGCTGGAGGCTATGCCACCAGTGTTTCACATGCCAGCAGGGTTACCCAAAGTGGAAAGGTATCAGCACAGCTTCCAGACTAAGACAAACTCAGAAGAAGAAAGAGGCCATCCACTTCTCAAAGAATTGCCCAGTGAAAACCTTATGAATAGCAGTGAAACACTGTCTGATATATTACTGGAAAACTTTATGAATAGCCCTAAAATGTTGTCTGATATAGTGCCGGAAGATGAGCCTCTTGGGTCAGATGGTACTCAAGGTACAACTGAGGAAGAGCTGCCTCCTCAAAGTAGAGCCAACCTTAATGACGTGGATAGAGTAAAGCTCTATCAGGACCTCCACTTGCTGATATGGCATGACTCAAGATGAGAAGAAACAGCTGCAAACATCCTTTAATAACTGGAACATGAAATGTATGAACTATGAATCTAGGAAAACTGGAAGTTGTCAAAAATGAAATGGAACACACCAAGATTGACATCCTAGGCATTAGTGAACTGAAATGGACTGTTTTTGGCCATTTTGATCAGATGATCATATGATCAACTATGCCAGGAATGACAAATTGAAGAGGAATGGCATAGCATTCATCATCACAAAGAATGTATCAAGATCTATCCTGAAGTACAATGCTGTCAGTGATAGGGTAATATCCATAAGCTTACAAGGAAGGCCAGTTCATGCTACTATTATTCAAATTTACATAGCAACCACCAAAGCCAAAGATGAGGAAAGTGAAGATTTTTTACCAACTTCTGCAGTCTGAAATTGACTGAACATGCAATCAAGATGTGTAGATTATTATTGGTGCTTGGAATGCAAAAGTTGGAAACAAAGAAGAATCACCAGTAGCTGGAAAATATGGCCTTGGTGATAAAAAACAATGTTGGAGATTGCATGATAGAATTTTGCAAGACCAATGAGTTATTCATTCCAAATACCTTTTTTCAATGACACAAATGGTGGCTATACATGTGGACTTCCCCAGATGGAGTACACAGGAATCAGATTGACTACATTTGTGGAAAGAGGTGATGGAGAAGCTCAATATCTTCAGGCAAAATAAGGTCAGGAGCTAACTGTGGAACAGACCATCAACTGCTCATATGCAAGTTCAAGTTGAAACTAAGGACAATTAAAAGAAGTCCATTAGAGTCAAAATATGATATTGATTATATCCCTCCTGAATTTAGAGACCATCTAAAGAATAGATTTGATGCACTGAACACCAATAACCAAAAACCAGAGGAATTGTGGAATGATATCAAGGACATCATCCATGAAGAAAGCAAAAGGTCATTAAAAAGACAGGCAAGGAAGAAAAGTCTAAAATGGATGTTAGAAGAGACTCTGAAACTTGCCCTTTAATGAAGAGTAGCTAAAGCAACTGGAAGAGACGACCAGATAAAAGAGCTGAACAGAAGATTTCAAAGAGCAGCTTGAGCAGACAAAGTCAATTATTATAATGAAATACGCAAAGACCTGGAGTTAGAAAACCAAATGGGAAGAACATGCTCAGCATTTCCCAAGCTGAAAGAACTGAGGAAAAAATTTGAGCCTCAAGTTGCAATACTGAATATTCTATGGGCAAAATATTGAACGATGAAAAAATAAATAAATAAAAAGAACCAAACCTACTGCCATTTAATTGATTCTGACTGATACCGACTCCCAATGAGTTTCTGAGGCAGTAAATCTTTATGAAAGTAGATTGCCCAGTTTTGCTTCTGTGGAGTGGCTGGTGGGTTTGAACCACCAACCTTCTGGTAAACAGTCAGATGCCTTAGGCACTGTGCTACCAGAGCTCCATGAAT